GACCATAGAACGGAATTTGTCCCAAAGTTTAGGTGGAAATTTCTAAAACTCATTGGGTTCTGTGAAACTCCCCGAAGTTTAAGGGGTTTTCTTTGATTTTGAAAGCTCAGGGGGTTCTATGCAACCCACCTGAAAGCTCAAGGCAGTTGTGTGCAACTCAACCCATAACTCAAGGGGATTATATGAAATTTACCCTGAAAATCAATGATGTGATATCGTTTAAACAAAAGTATGGCATAGATTAAAATCTTGTAGCAGTTGCAAAAGTCAAGTTAAACGAAAAGTATGGATAACTAAGATACAAGCACATTGTATAGGTGAAGACAATGCAGAGTAGTACCGTCCACAGTCCAGAAGACTACAAATATACACTAAAAATAATTTGAGTTTAGACTTTAGTAATAGTCAAAAATCATATTACTCATTGAATCTTTGAGATGTTACTACCATTGAGGTTAAGCATAACCTTGAAAATAGAAATGTTTTTAGGGTGATATTTGGATTCATACCTTGATGCCATCTTTTCCAATAACATAATCTTGCTCCCCTAAAACAAGAAGGGACTCAAGAGTCTGGGCCTCCAATTTTGCCTTCTCCTTCTCTGCAAGTTCCTCCAACTTCTCTGGAGAAAAGGGGAAAGCCTCAACCCCATGATCTTCAACAAGATCCGCAGCATTGAGAATCAATGTCTTCCCATTAGCACCAATCACAACAAGTGTTGGGATAGTCTTAAGCTCAAAATAATGGACGAGCCTTTCACAAGTTTTGTCCTTGAAGGGGATCGCAAGCCAAGGCATGCCAGCAAATCCCTGCTTGAAGGATGCCTCCTCGTCATCTAGGGAGACCAAGACAACCTCAAAGTTATGTCCACTTTCCTTTAGTTTTTTGTACATCTCAACAAGCTTTGGGGTGAAGTTCTTGCATGAACCGTGTAAGCTCAAGGAGAAGTACAGACCCACAATCTTCCCTTCAAGCTCTGATACAGGTACCTTATAGCAATAAGAGCTACATAATCAGTTAATAATTGAAGGCCAAATTTCAGAGGCTAGCAAAATGTGGAAAATACACTAGAAAATTAACAGATGTTTAGTAAACACTACTGAATAAATACTTGTCAAAACTCTATAATAGAACACATGAAAAGAGAACATGGGAAAATAGCAAGCAAAAACAACCACTATCATACTGTTTCAAAATAATTAATGAAACTCGTGAATCTTAAATAGTTTTGCTGGATCGTTCGCTAACAACTTGAGGATTATATGCTACAGACATATCCAGTTCTAATTTCATGATTGCTCCCAAATTTCATATTCTCATGGTGTTGTAACTATGGAGGAAAATTACCTTATCTCCACTGTCTGAAATCAAGAAGTCACGAGAGGAGGAAACCAAGACACTTTGAAGTGTTTGATTCTCTTTGGCAGCCTTTGCATCTAATTTCATCTTTTCAATCCTCTCTTGAGTGAACGGATAAGCATCTGAACCATAATCTAGCACAGCTCGGACACCCTTATCATTAACCACCTCGCCATTCATATCAAGAACCACAAGATGGGGTACCCCTCGCACATTGAAAAGCTCATCGAGTTGATGACGGGTAGCAGAGTCGAAGAAAGGAATGGCAAGCCAAGGCATTCCAGAGAAGTACTTGTTGAAGGATTCCTCATCTTTGTCAGCTGATACAAACACAACTTCAAAGTCAGCATTCTTCGAGGAGAGGTCATTGTATGCCTCAACCAATTTTGGGGTGAACCGGCGGCAGGGTCCACACCATAAGGCTGAGAAGTATAGGCTGACAACCTTTCCCTGAAGATTACTTACCTTCACCTGTAAAGATTGATACATCTGAGTTCAGTCCACAGACAAATGGTTTCTAGCCTCAATTGAAGGCAAAACCAACGAAAAACAAGAAACAAAGAGTTCATTCCTAAGTAAGAGTAAGATTAACAAAAATAAAGGTAAATAAATAAGCACTTTTTCATCATTTGGCTCTCTGCTCATAGAGGCTGCAAACATGGAGACGTTTGCTAAACATAATGTCGTGCAGGAGGATACTTGTGTGCTTTGTAAAAGGGAAAAGGGAAGTTTAGAGCATTTATTTTTCTTCTGCCCTCTCTCAAAGCATGTCTGATCTCAAACTTCATCTTGATTACACATTCCAAGAGCTCCTATAGGATAGAAGGATGAACTAAGGTGATTTTGTGCTAAAGCTAGCGGGAGGTCTATTAAAGGCAAGATTTTAAAGGTAGCTTTGTTGCTGTGGTGCATCCTTATTGGATTGAAAGGAATTCAAGGATTTTCTTCTTCTTCTTCTTCTTCTTTTTTTGGTTCTAGAACTCATTCTTGTGAGGTTAGAGCCGAGGTAATAATGTAAAAACTGATGTATTAGTTAGAAGCCATTCTTTGAAGATTCCAAGTTATTACTTGGATTGGTACTACACATTGGGAAACCAGGTATGCCTGGGTTGTAAAGCGTCCATCTTACTTATGTCAGTCTCCTCTCCTTTACTTCATTTTACTCTCTATTCGCTATTGGATAAATTTTTGAAAGAGGGCTGGCAAGTAGCTATAAGAGCTTACATTGCATGAACAGATCAATTTCATATATTCCCATTAGCTTTCCACCTTTTGTTAGATTTAAGGCAAGTCTACACTTTCCACAGTTTTCTTTATAAAGAATTTAGGTCATCTCAAAGACTTCAGAGCAAAATTTGACATTCAATTGTAACATTCCCACGAAGTCTTCTCAATATGATGTTGTGCTTTGCAAAGTTAATCCTTTTTTATGGAAACTGATAAAATTGTGATGATCAATATTTTATCTAACAAACTCAGTATGCAAAATGATCCTAGAAATTCTTTTTAAATGTTTTGGTACACAAAAATCTAATAAAAAGTTAAATGTTTAACTAAATTACGTAAACAATAATGCTTCCTTTAGGGGTGTAAATTGATCGGAAATTAATAAACTGTTTGTTAATTATCATCTAATTGTTAACTTATATTTGATTCAGTCGTTTGTCAATAGTAGGGGTGCATCCGGTCCGAATACGGCTCGGATATGATGCTTACCATATCCATATCTGCTTACCCATCTCAAATACGGATATGGATATACCTCGATAAGGAAAATTCATAACCATATCCGGTAAAATCAGATACGGTTACGGATATACATGCGGATATATAATCGGATATGCATGAGGATACAAAACGAATATAAGAAAACTAGATAGTATTGAGAAAAACATAGTTCATGCAATACAAAAGAGTTCGTTAATATGTTCATTATAACTGAAAAGTTAAGGTTAGACATCTTGATCATCAAAATTAACCATAAATCCATAATCTAAGAATCGATACTATCATAAGAGTATGACTAATATGTATTAAGATATTTCGAATACGGATGCAGATATTTCACTACAAAACCATATTTGTAACCATATCCTATCGGTTATATATTTGAGTAACCATATCCGTATCCTAACGGATATGGTTAGGATATTGATATGGTTTATCACCCTTAGTCAATAGTATATGAATAATTTTTGGTTTTTGGTTCATAAATGGTATAACTTAACCAAGAATGAACTATTATATTCATATATGAATATAATTTTTAATATTTAACTCATCTGATTGTTAACTATTCAGTATGTTTTGCATTTTACCCTTTGATCATAAACTTTTGGGAAATATGCAAGATTGTATCCATATTTAAGTAATTAAAATCATATATGTCAAATAGAATATTCAACTAGTTTTCTTTCTAAGCTTAGAGTTAAGGGCAAGTCAAAATGCTTTTCTAATTGTTGTACAGAAATATGTTTTTGTTGTCATTTGTTAGCTTTTATGGTATTCAGACTTCTTCTGATGGTCGATTGTTCATTTTATATGTTTGTTCTGGTGCACAAATGTGATGACCTGCTTGTTGTTCTATTATCATTTCCAATTGTTCAACTTTATATTGCATGAGCCATGTTATCATTTCCAATTGTTCAGTTTTATATTGCATGAGCCATGTTTCTGTTGCTCTATTCTTTTATTTTCTCTAATTGTATTTGTGTATATTCGAAGGGAAAATGAGATAAACGGTTTGATTTATCACAACAGAATACTTAAGAAATAATTATAGACACAAACAAATATGCATAAATGTGTTAACCAAATGTCTGTGAATAATATTCCAAAACCTAAATATATGAATGAGTACAATTCAAATACCATTGGTTATTTCCATCAAATTCGAATCCTGGCAAGTGAACCGAATTTGAATCCAAAGATCCTACTATTTGAATTAAGAGTTTAAACAAATAACTTTTGAATAAATGAATAGTTAATCAAGCTCCACTAGAATGATTTTACCAGATCCAATGGAGTTAATCCTCCAAATTTTATAACTAAGCACTATTATTCACATTAAAATCATTTAATCAATTTCGAAAAAAACCCTAATAATTTCGTAATTAGAAAAATCCTAGTTTTGGTTGATCGAGATCGCCGTCACCTGATCGCCGTTGTTCCTAACGAGAAAATCTCTTCCTTCGCCGGAGAGGATCGATTTCAGATCGTGACGCTTGACGGCGCCGTTAATCTCCGTTATTGCGACCTCCGTCATCTCTCTTTGTGTCTACCCTCTTCTTCTTTGTAATGGAAAAGAGTATGGGGTTTGGGTTTTATAGACGCCGAAAGACTTGCCGTCCGTCTAAATTAAATGGTTTTTTCCTTTTTTTTAAAAAAATAGAAAATATTTTTATAGAAATAAAACAAATATTTTCTTTGGTTAATAGAAAGACCTTTTGCATTGACTAGTGACAACGACTTTTTGGAGTCAAGGCAAAAAGATTAGGCTTGTTTATGCTGATAAATTACCTACGCTACCTAGATTGTAGGTGAGTAATTAGAAAAAAACGAAGGAGATTAGTGTAATTTTGCTCACATATAAGACGCATTTGACTCGGCTTTGAGCTTGGTCAATTTCGCAAAAGCCGCTGATTTTTTAGGAGTTGTGCATAAAATCCTTATGAACTTTGTAAAAAGGATAATTATTAGGGAAATATATTACTAAGAAGGCATTTTAGATTCAATTTAAGAATCCTCGCTACATGGATTAGACTATTTTCAGAAACTATCCACTTCATTTATCAATGCAAGTGACTTGTGCATGCAGTGCTAAATGGATCTTAACAATATAACGGTCGGAGGTTTTGTAATAAAAAAGATAATTGCGGGAGTTTCTTAATCACTGGACAAACTTGATGGGGTTTCATATCTGTTAGAATATAAAATAACAACCATTAGTTCTCACCATAACTATAAAGTTTTGGTGTATGACAGAGGCTTTAAGATGATATTAGAGTAGTACTGGTTCGAAGAACAGTGGCCATGAAGAATCTCATCGGCCACAAATCTAATACGAATTTGAAAAAATTATTGATGTTGTGTGTCTCCAGATTTGAGGCTCAACTTGGCAGGGAATGTTTGGACGCTCAACCTGCATGAATATATTAAAATATAAAATAATAACTTTCAAGCTTCACTATAACTTTGAAGTTTTGATGTAATGGCAGGGGCTTTAATATGGTACAAAAGCAAACTAGGTTCGAATCAGTTCTCACCGGTCACGACTTTAATGTGGATGATAAAAAGATATTGCTGCTATGTGTGTCCAAGTTTCAGTTTATAAAATAAATGTTCAACTATCGGGAGTATGTTAAAGTGCCCAATCTACAACAGCATATCAAAATATAAAACAATTACCTCAACTCTTGCCAATAACCTTAAAATTTTGGTATAATGACAGGTACTTTAAAATATTTACCCTTATAAATAAGAGAGAACCTAATCAATTTTTGAAGATTATACAAATCCCTTTAAACAATATTGCAAATCTCATAAATGCCATTACGACATTACCATATAGAGTAAAATGTCCGAAATGTGAACTTGTTATGTCATGTTCTTATTAGATATAGGTTCCATGTAGGCAATAATTGTATATTATAACAGTACCTATATGAATATAGCATCCTTGTTGAAAATAATATTATGCTATTTTGGTTAGATTTATCTGGTATTTTAATACAGATAAAGTCCTTAGAATGATACTAGACTATCAAACATTTCGGATATGATCGTAATTAAGAGATCTGATTTGTCGCTAACGTATATTCTAAAATGTTCCTAGTCGGTGAAGTGTTGAAATAGGACATCCTCACTTTGGGAAGACTAGTGTATACTCTATTCCTCCTTTGGTAGGATGATGATCCATCTCTTAGATCATTGATGTGAGACATCAAGATATAGTATACAGATGACTCGTTAGTGAATGAGTTGACTGAACGACTCACTAAGAACATCTAGTTGGTAATTATACTTAATTGTCAAATAGAAGTTCTCAAGTGATATGGTACAAAGTAGTCTCTTGACGTGAGGCATGAATGTAATATCTTACATGTCAGTATAGGTGTACTTAGACTTTTACCTAACCACAGTTCTCATTGAGTTGTACATAACGGTTCTTATTGCAGGGTGCATCCCGAGATATAAGTAGATATTGAGATGCCAAGATAGGATTCGTCTCTCCCAGTATAAGGGATTGATGTCATAAGATTGTTTGATATAACTATAGCCAGAAAATAAGATAAACTGAGTGTCAGTTTGATCTTATAAGTTATGAGTTTAATATCAATAAACACTAATCGAGCTATTAGGGTTTGACAATTTTTCATACCCTAGGCTCGATAGTTTGACATGGTTTGACGAAAAGACCGGACTGTATGGTATTATCACTGAGTGGTCCTGATAAAATTGTGTAAGCATCTTGCAGACATTTATCATAACTTATATCCGAGTAGTCTTCATGTGTAGCTAGCACCTCTGTTGTACTTGTGGATATGATCCACTGCTGAGTCTTAAGTTGGGCCCTAGAGTCACACCAAGCGCGTATTTGAATCCTATGAAATAATATTTATAGAGTTAATGCGTATGATTGATACACATTTATGATTTTACCGGATACACATAAATGGTTATGTATATCGGTAAAATCGGAATGCTATGTGCTTAGGAAATGAATTCCAGTATTTTTCCCATAAAGTTAACTTTTAGTCAACTAGTTGATTTTTTTATCAACAGTTGACTTTTGGTCAACTCGTTGACTTTTTGGTCATATGATGACTTATTAGTCAATGATTGGAAAATTACGAAATACCATATTTATGAAATACCGTATTGATGTGGTATTTTTATTTATAAAATACACACTTCATTATACCTTGATTAATGAGTCATTAAGGTGGTATGGTTTGGGAACATGGTTTTAGCACATAGTTTTGATTCTTCATTACTCTTTGCATGACTTATGAGATGAGTCATTGCATGACTTATGAAAGGAATCATTACATTTAGATGACTCATGGCATGACTCATGAGATGAGTCATGATATATCTTACTCTATATATATGAGCTTTCTCTCTTATGGAAAGGTTAATGAAAAATTAGCTAAGTGGTTTTTTTCATAAGAGAATAAAAAAGAGAGCTCTCTACTGTTGGCCTTCTTGTTTTGATGATGTTTAACAAATAATTTACCAATAATGTTGTTTGTCTAATATTTATGTTTTCTTATTTATTGTAGACAAATAACGAGTTGGAGGATGGATGGAATTGCGCTTCAACGAACATATCCAATGGAGGTTGGCGGAATTGTGGAGTGAAGCAACGTACAATTCAAAGTTAAAGATCAAGTTTAAGCTTCATCCGCATAGTGTACCAAGTCAAGCTTATTGAAGATCAAGATCGGCTTGGGTAACTAGTTTAGGTTTTATATTATGTGTGTTAGTACTTTAAGCTCAATCATATACACACATACACATTGTGGTTTTGTTTATATATATATATATATATAACTATATATATATATATAATATAATATATATAGTATATATATATATATATATTATAATATATATTATATTATATATATACATTAATGACATATATGTTTTGGTTCTATTGTTAATATATAGTTTATAATATACATGCATGGGTTTTGGGTTTTTATGTTTACAAATATGAAATTACATATTCATATTTATATTGGTGATATGAGTTTTATCTAGTTAGATATGAAAAAATATATTTTGCATATACATACGTCATGGATGTTTTTATTTGTCTATTGGTATTTGCCTAAAATATTGTTTCTCAGTTTATGACTTAACCAATAATCAATATAATATTTTATTAAGTCTATATAATCATTGCTGTAAAGTTTTCAAACATGGTTAGCGCTATGATGTCAACATTCACATGTTTACATTTCGTTGGTGTTTTGGACTATTTTTGCAAAATGATGATTTTTCACAAATGGGAAATGCAATTTTGGAAAATTCTTTTTGTAATATGTTCGATTTAATGTTCATATACATTTTCCAAAGTTTTATTTATTTTGGACTTCATTTGTTATTTTTAAATATTTTCAAAAGTCTCAAAATCTGTTAAAATTATTTTGCCTGTAGTGCTGTTTGCGCGTCGACGCCCCATGAGTTCAAGAATCAGAAGTTCTGTTGGCCTGGTGTCGACTCGTGGGCGGTCGACCGTAGCGAGTCTAAGAGACTATTCGGCGTCGCACGTTCCAAGGGGTCGGCGTGTCGCTTGTCGCAGATATCTTTTTATGTTTTTTGTTGCTCGCGTCGACCGGCGAATGTGAATAGGTTACGGTAGTTTTTCAGGTGTTGATCTTGGTTTTTTGGTCTTTTCTTATTCATATAAATACCCCATTACCTCAGTTTTTATGATCATCCAAGAGAATGTTTTTCAAATAGTTTAACAAGGGTTTAAACTTGTTTAGTGTTTGTTTAAGTTTGTTTTAAGAAGCTTTTAAGCATTTGAGTATTTTCGGTCTTGTGAATAAATTCCACAAGAGCTTAAGGAGATTATCTATTGAAGTTTGAGCTTCCAACTATCTTCCCTCCATCTCTTGTTATCAATTGAGAAGTTTTCTAAACTCAAACTCTAGCTTTACATTTATATACTTGTTTGATTATCATTGTTCTTAAGTGATACGGGTGTATCTTCTTCTCTGCCTCGGGAGCTTAGCGATCCTCATGGGAGCTTGAGGATAGGAGATTCTCATGGTATCTTGAGAATAGGAGCGTGGATGGAGCTAAAGGAAACGGCGAAAGAAGTCGGAAGAAGCAAAACGCAAAAAGAACAGGAAAGACTGACAGGTCGACCGGAAAACCTGCACGCTGCAGGGTTTGAGAAAATTCTCTGGCCGGTCGACCGGACCAAGCCTGGCGGTCGACCGGATCGCGATTTCTGGGTTTCCTGTTTCGTTTTGGATTCTGTTTTGACAGGGATTCCTGATTCTTTTGGGCTTGTTTATTTACAAGTTTACCATCCACGTTTGCACATCTATAAATAGGATTGTTTTAGGGTTCTAAACAATCAGACCTAAGGGAAGAGAAATTGTAATAATTGTATTAGGGTTTAGAGAGAGAGTTGAGGGGTTGTTCTCAATTCTAGCGAGATTGTGAGGGAGAGATTGTAATCTTTGTTCTTCATAATCTAGAGAAGGTATTTTCCTTCGCCTTATACTGAATTGTTCTTGTGTTTTTGTCATCCTCTTCTCAACCCACCTTTTGGTAATTCCGCGCCCAAAGGGTGCTCGCACGGCAACTCGTATCAAGTTGGTATCAG